AGTAGCATGTTGCTAACAGCAAAAAAAGACAGACGTCTTTGAGGCAGTGTGATGAATGACATTCAGTGGAATGAACCACGCACTTCAACAGATGGTACCAAACAGGGAGGCTCAGCAGATACAGACAGTATGGTTCCAATTGTATAATCCTCAGAAACATGCAAAACTAAGCAGTATATACTCGGGATATATATGTGTGCACATGATCATTTTTTTTCTAGTGTTTTTATTATTTAAAAAAATATTTTTTTTTTACATTCTAAGATGTTGCAGAGCAGTTGGGGTGGAAGGAGAGAGGAAGGGGGAAGGGGATAGGGTGGGAGGACAAGGAGGGGGGTGGGGGGCATGGTTGAGGCCCATGGTTCCCCCCTCATTCCAGCAGATGAGCCCGGGGGGCTTCTGGCGGCGGCTCAGTCATGGCTGGGCTGGATGCGGACTTAAGGGGGACATGGCTGAGGCCCTCAGTTCCCCTCACCCCAGCTCCAACGCTTGGGGCACTTCTGGCAGCAGCCTAGTCGTCACTGGGCTGGATGTGGACATTGGGTAGGTGTGGATGAGGCCCTCAGTCCCCCACTATCCCGGCTCGGGAGCCTGGGGCATTTCCAGCAGTGGGTTGGTAGTCTTTTTTGAGCTGGATGCGGACATTGGGGGGACACAGCTGAGGCCTTCAGCCCCCCCGCCCCAGCTTGGGAGACTGGGGTGCTTCTGGCGGTAGCTCAGTGGTCATCATTGCGCTGGATGTGGATGTCCAGGGGCATGGCTCAGGCCCTCGGGCTACCGCCGCCCTGGCTTGGGAGCCTAAGCACTTCCAGGGCCAACTCAGTGGCCATTGCTGGGCTGGATTTGGATGTCGAGGGGGTGTAGCTGAGGCCCTCGGCCCCCCATCGCCCCAGCCTGGGAGACATAGGTGCTTCCAGCGGTGGCTTGGTCATCACTGGGCTGTATGCAGATGTTGAAGGGGCGTGGCTGAGGCCCTTGGACCCCCCCCACACCCTGACTTGGGAGCCCAGGGCACTTCTAGCAGGAGCCCAGTGGTCATTACTGGGATGGATGTGGATGTTAGGGGGGTGTGGCCAAGGCCCTTGGTTCCCACCTACCCTAGCTTGGGAGCCCAGGGTGCTTCCAGCAGCAGCTGGGTGGTAGTCACTGGGCTGGATGCAGACATTAGCGGGGGGGGCCTGGCTGAGGCCTTTGGCCCCTCCACCCTGGTTTGAGAGCCTAGGAGTGCTTCTGGCAGCAGCCTGGTGGTTGTTGCTGGGCTGGATGTGGATGTGAGGGGGCATGGCTGAGGCCCTCAGCCCTCTCCCT